ATGACTGAAACCCCAAACGCAATTACATACCCGTAAGAACCCGAATAATTGGACCTAGACGTTGGAGTTGCCTTTCTTGGTAAGGTGCAGTACTTTTTTTACTTTTTTCGTCTCAAGCAGGGGCTGGGGCGGTTCGGTTTTCGCAGTGTTTCACCCCCCATATCCAAGAGAGGGAATTGCGGACTCCTTAGCGAGAGGTCCAATTATTGGAGCTCTTACGGCAGCGGAAGTATTTCTCCATAGTGTCGAACCTTTTTCTTCCATTCTATGGAAATTAGACACGAAGCGGCTCTCTGCGTTGCTCAATCGAGCATTGGATCGCCTTTCCCATTGCGAGCCGAAGGGGTTCTCGAGACTCTGAAATTTGGTGCCAAAGCGGTATCCAGAAAGGGATACTATGGAATTTGCTGTCGGAGAGGTTCTGGAATGTGGTCAATTTATCCTCCGGGGATGTTCGCATGACTTTTAGCTCCGCATCCGTGCACGATATACCCTATTATATAGTTTGTACTTTTTCCATCACTCGGTATCTCAGGACATCTATAGCTTCCAATTTGATAATGACCTCTCCTGCGACCGTATCCCCAGCTGGGAACTTGAAAGCCACCTTAATTCCGTTGCTTGAATCCGTAATCTCCTGATTTCTTCTTAGATATCCGACAGCCCCATCAGCATGAAGTCACTAGACAAAAGACAAAAGTCTTGATTATTCTGAGTCGTCCACAATAGAGTCGCCAGCTCCAAAGGAGTGGTAGCAGTACTGTAGCACTGTTCAGTACCACCAGAAAAAAAAGAAATCCACCTCATATCACAAGTGGAAATGGGAAGTAACAGGTGGTGAAAAATATACGTAGTTTCTCTCACCACCCAAATGGTATCAGTCCCTGCTAGCCTTGTCGGCTAGTAAATTAGCTAGTCAATTGTTTACGACTTGCTTGCTAGATGAGGCAACCCACACACCTTGAAAATGCCCTGTACTCGTACAGCCGGTTCAACAGCAAGCCTCGAATCGGTTAACAATTGACCGTCCATTCACTGTTGAACATTATTTCTTTCAGGGTGCGGTGGTGCATTGGAGAATTGGGATGTGAGCCTTCAGCGAGGGAAATTTTTTCTTTAACACATTGGACCAGTAAAACCCACCAAAAAGGTCAAAATTTCAAAATTTAATTCTCAATTAACGCCTAAGACTGGGAAGACGGAATACAACAGTGTAGGAGGTACCCCAGATAGGACATTATTCTAGATTTTGACATCTTTTGGGCTGAATTCAGATGTTTGGTTTTGTGGAAATTTCCACAGTGAGTGTGATATTCGAGCTAAATTCACAGACAAAGTGATTCACTCCCGCGTCTGATCCGCTCCGCGGTCCAATGCGTTAAATTCAGTACCATAAGAACTGAAATAATTGAAAATCTCACTAGGGCAATGGAGTTGCCTCTCCCAGTAGCATAAGGTCTGTAATATTCTTCTTTTCTTTTTTTTTTTTTCTAAATGCCGTGCAAGGGGCTCCTCAAATTCGAGCGATCGCGTTTGGGTATCATACTGTACTGCACTTTCTTGGCTGCTATGAGGTGCACCTTTTTCTGCCTCCTCTTCCTATGACCCAAACCCACAATCACTTTCCGTTCTCCTTCACGTCGCCCTTCCTCCTATACATCCACCCAACCTTCTCGTTACGCCAGTATCTTTAGATGGAGAGTATATGGGGGCGAGAACGTATGATCAACATGAGAATGAGCTCGAGCTCGTTTTCTCTCCTCTTTATTCCCCACCCCCATTTTTCCTTACAATTTCCCTCTTAATTTCCTTTTGGCTTGTGGAATGCCTGCCATATTGAACATTGGCAGGGTGAATAGGTGGAGGGACCTACCGGTGTTGGTCGGGAATCTCTCTTTCCCCGAACCGGATAGGGAGGGGACCGAGTCTAATCCTTGGTGGGCTTCCCCAATGAGTTGGAAATCTTAAATCGGACAATAGGCGAATGAGGAAATAGCATGATAGGAGACCCTGTAATCCCAGCTGGATGCTAGAAACAAACCCGCTTCCCACACCCGTACGATACGTGTTTACCCAGTATTTTAGGAGTGAAATTAATAGGTATGATAATGGAATGAAAGTAAAAATGAAACCCTGCACAGTTGGAAAACCGTCCTTTGTCGTCCTCACCCCCCCTCTTGGACTGACGGGACGACCAGAAGCACTAGGCAGCTCCCTCCCGATCACGTTTACATCTCGTAGTTACACCCGCGGAGGGGGGTATATCGGGAACACAGATATGCAGGGAAATATATCTCAGTACTCGGCACTGACTTGAAGACCCAGAGTGACTTCAGATGTTAGTTTTTGTTCCTACACACCCGGTGTGTGAAAATATAATATCCCGATACGATAATATGATGAATTCCTCGAGAGAAAAGCCCCATCCCCTGGAGAGGCGAAACAGCGAAATTCAGTGCCGCCGAGGATCGGCGAACTTCATTGTTCGCAAGGAATAAAAAAAAAAGTGCCAATTTAGGGACATTATCTCCTTTTAGGTTCCCGGGAGTTTGAACTTATACAAATGAAGGAAATTTTACAAAGGCCATATGTATCATACCGAAGTTTGTTCCAATACTTTACCCCTGCCGCGAATGCACGAGGTTATTCGTACCTATACTAACCTAGAAAACAGACATTATCGGTTTTTTTCTGGCGGGGTTCATTTTTCCGGGTGGGTTTTTCTCTTTCTGGGGGATGCCGCGATCTTGGGCGCGCCATGCGGTAATTTCGGAAACCGAATCCTTAGTCCTCTGGGGCTGCGGCGGCCAAAGGGGAAGCGGCAATGATCGCATGCGGTATGGGGGGGTTTTATTTTTATTTTATACTTTAGACGGAAATCGGAGGTGCTGGCAGAGGTTCGATAAACGGGTTTTTCTTTTGAGGACCATGGAACACGGATTTACATGAGCTTACAAGTGTGATGGAGGAGCAGTCTGTCTGTCTGTCCGAGCTGGGTTTTCTAATAAATCCTGGAAAGTAGCGTATAAACTCTTGCGGTTCGCTATCTCCGTCATGTCGTGAATATCCCCGTAGAGTCGTGACGGGTGGTATGATGCCGCTTCGGCCCGTATGTCGGGACCCTAAGTGGGCAGATTGTGTACGATACTATATCCGGCCAATCCATAATACCGTGGCGATGATAACTTTGGCGTTCCTATTGGTTTTCAGAGATTCCACAAAAGCCGCGGGCTCGCGGGACGAGGCGGGACGAAGTCCCCGAAGCCTACGTAAGAACTGGAATAGCTGGGGATCCCGGTAGGACGTTGGAGTTGCCTCTCCTAGTAAGGTCCGTTATATTGTTTTTTATCTCTCGACAGGGGCCCTGTCTTCTCCCCCTAATCCAAGGGGGGAAATTTTGGACGTCCCAGCGCCATTCCAGTTCTTACGGTACCGTTCCTAATGTGTACAGTACTCGAGTAGTTACCCCACAATCCAAGTACCGATATTTGCTGGTGCGGCGGCACTGGCTGGCTGCCTTTTGGTATCGGGGGGTAGGATTGTGAAGACTGATTGGAAACCTGGTGCTGGAGCCTGAAGGGGTGATCCAGATGTAACTTGACAAGAAATTCTGCCCAATTTGAGTTCGAATGTTTGAGGTTACACAGATAATGTGCTCTAACACCATAGTCACCTGCACTCCAGTGCAAGTGATCCAGTGAGTATTAACACGGTTTCAGCTGAAAGAATAAACTTTTTAGCTATGATCTAAATCCTCTTTAATGCGGGGATATCGATATGAAATACTAGTAGGTCTTGCACAGGTACAGTACTGTACATTTAATGCATAGCTAGACGTTTATTCTAATGCTCATAGAGGGCTAATATAGAGGGCAGATAATGAATAGTGAAAGGTGGCCTCCGGAATGGTTTGATTCCCACGTCCAAGTGGGCTACGGTAGTTCTATTCAATAACTGTAGTTCTGCGCTTTACTTATAGTTTTGATTCCGTTGCGTCAAGCGCTCCGTTCGCCATTAACTTAATAGCGCAGTGCTATCATACAACGAATCCCTACCACCCATTTCCATTTGCTCCCGAACACGAGAGGCATCTATTTTTGGGCCGGGCGCAAACGTCACTTCTCTCCGCTCCAACCAATACTGTGCCGATACGGTACTCAGTCCGTCTAACCAGCTTTCTCGTGCCTTGGCAAAATGCTTCATCACGCATCCATTTTCTAAGATGGGAATCTCAGCTTCACTCAAGAGCAAGCACAAGTACAGTACTCGTACTCGAGTACGAGCCTGTAGTGCACCATTTCCCGATTCGTCCATTCCGCACCCCTAGCGTTGGGTTGTGCCCGAGTACGAGTGTCAGGCATAAAAAAGTGATGCGGATCATGGGTGTGGATGCCGATCTCGGTCGGAATCAGTGGGAAGCCGCAACCAACTCGCAAAGAGTTCCTTTTTTTTGATAGATGTATTGAATTGGAGGCCAGGCACCTGCTTGACCAACTATGTTTGTTCAAAGTTGACTAAGACAAGAGGAAATAGAGGTCCTCCGTTGAAAATGTTTTTCGGGTGCACTGATGCTGCTGTGATTCTAGTTATGCACAATACTGTACCACTATTCCATCCCTGACCCTCGCACAAGCAGTCTCAATACCTCTGATAAATACGGGGTGGAGGAAATTAGTAGACATTGTGATCACATTACCCCTATGCCGATAGCGGTACAGTACCAGTACGAGTACACAACGCTCAGTTAGTGTCCAAGTGAATTTATATGAGAGGTGGTGTAGGTGCGGTACGACGCAGCCCTGTGCATTTGGCACTTTGCGGAAAGATTCCGGGGATGGAAGGAGCGTTAGTAGTGGTTTGTGGAACTTGGTGATGTATCATTTCTTGGCATGTCGTACTGAATACGAGGGGTAGTCTATTGGTCTCGGGGGTGGAAATGAGATAAAAGGGTCGGATTGTCAACGTTAGTTCACAATTTCTTTGCTCCTCAACCATCCAGTGCGGAGAAAGTTCGATAGTCTATCATCCTCCCTTCCTTCTTGGCCTGCTGGTTTTTAAAGACAACACCTGGACAGCTCCAAATCACCACACCGGTACATCAAACAATAGCACCATCAAAAATGGCTTTCCAGAAGCTCGCGATCCCCCTCATACTGACCCTCTATTGCGCCCTCCTGGCCAGCGCTTCCTCCCTCCGCCGCCGCCAAAACTGCATCGTGAACCCGATCCTCTACACCAGCTTTGACGAAACCCTGACCCTCTCCGTCCAAAACAAGTCCCACCCACTACACAACCGAGCGATATACTACACGCCCCTTGGAGACTCAACCACGGGACCAGTCGAGCACGCGCTGACCGTCTACCGAAGCAGCCCCCTCCCTCCCGCTGCCTTCCGCCTGACCTCGCAGAAACTCTACCACGCCCCGCCCCTCGGCGTGCCAGAGCAGATTCCGGTGTACACCAGACCGAGTGGATATAGCGGCCTCGATGAAGTCTATTTCCCGGCCACGCTGCCGAGCGAGGAGCCAAAGGTGCTGTGGAGCGGGTATCCAGGGTGTGATCCGGACACCAATGCCCCTCAGTTGGAATTGGGGCCCGACGGGAATATGAAGGTCTGCGCGAAACCTCAAGGAGATGATTGGAGAATTTATGTACAGAGTGGGTGTAAGTTATCTCCCTTTCCCCCCCCCCCCGCCCCGTTTCTTGTAGCTTTAATTGTGGGAGATGGGCAATTGGTGCTGATGTGAAATTTTCAATGGGTGGTAGCCGGACAAGTGGAGGATTGTGTGCTGTCTGTCATCAAGCTCGTTAAGAATCCCACTTAAGCGTGAGCCCGAACTCTCAGTTAAAAGATTGGGTCGGATATTTGAATCAATGGGGATGTGATGCGGTCACTTGTTTGTTTGGCTTAGATACTTTTTTTTTTCTTTTTCGCATTGTTCCGTCTTTCTTTCTTTGACCAATTTTCGTGGTCTACAGATTGGATGTCTAGACAATGAGGCGGGTGTGTGCGGGTGTGTACTGTACGGGTGCAAATAAGATTTTTGTGATATCCTGTGGCCCAACGTCTTATAGTAAGGTCATGTAGCACTAGACAGCTCGAGTGCTACATAGATTACGTTCATGGGCATAACTGCCCAGAGTGACAACCTTTTAGCTATCCAATCAATTATTATTAAGAAATGTCTGGCCTACGATAACGGTTTTACAAATAGCAGTTGTGTCGGACTTTTGAATTGAGCCTGTATGGCCTAAGGTGAGTTCCAGTACGGTAGTGGAAAAGAAAATAAGGGGGGCGATCCTGCTATCAGCCCCCTCTTTAAACGGCCTTAGCTCGAGAACACAGGCTCAAAATTCACAGGATAAATTTCTAATTAGCCCGCTGATGCCAAAGGTTCAACCTCTACGGTTGGGTCCTTCGGATGTGGTATCATAGGAACAATCCGCCTTTGCAAAAATAGATATCATGCGTAGGATCAGGCCTAAGGAAAGATCGAAGCTCTATACCAAGTAGCCATCAGACCTCCTTGCCATAGGTCATTATAACGATTGTCGTCCAGGTATGATAGCTCAAGACATACCCGGATAAATATTAAAAAAGAAATGTATGATACTAGCTCCAAGGTTATGGCTAGGCGCCACAACCGGGGGCAATCTAAAGTTTCGATTAGTTACCATGTTGCCATGGCAACCCGCAAAGTGATGTTGAGCTGTCCACAGTGTCCAGTAACATGGCATCACAGCTCAACACTAACGATGAAAATGCAAACCATCGCTGTTGAGGAAAAGAGATTGCGAATTGCTTTCATGAAGGTTCATGGGCTGCAAGGCTGACCCTTGTACAGTACACTGCTGTATTCACCTCTGGGCTACAAGCACTAGTAGTACGTTATTTTGATCCCCGTGGATAAGGTGCAAGTGGCTGTGGAAACTTGGATGCCAAAATGAGATTTCGAGGAGGGGAAAGTAGGGGAAAATAGGGTTTCCGGTTATGGGTATTGTTCATGGGAGATTAATTTACTTGCGCACAAATTACCGTACCTGTAAGTCATGGTGTGACGGATGTTGGGGCTTTTTTGCCTTGCTTTTTCTTTTTTCGTCAATGTGCACCATAACTTAATTCGCACTCACTCAAGTATAAGGAAAATGTAATACGGTAGCTTCTATTAATAAAAAAGTTAAAATATCTGAATTGGCAGTTTATAAGTTTCTGGTTCAAGAAATCGAGGTAAAAATTACTCGAAAACCTGCTGACCAGGCAATAAGTGACATGATTGATTAATAGGGTAAGCTTTGAGGATTTGTGGCAGGCATATCATAACACTTTTTTCTTTTTCTTCAACGGAAAATGAAATTCTCAAGGCTCTGCGACCGCAAAAAACGTGGTTGGGAGGAAAATCCCCATTTACTATCCCTCTTCACCCTCTCCATAATAGACAGACCCTTTTTTTCTTCCCTTTTTTTTTGCCAATTATGTTTTAGTTGCAGAGCCTTCAGAATCCGAAAACCACCGCACGCGCTGCGGTACTGTACTGTACACTCTAGAATCCTTACCCAGCTAAATTCGTGCCCTCCAAAGCACGTACTGTACATAATTCTAACCAGTGTTCCCAGAATACGTGGAATACGGTTGCTCCCAACCTTTCGGCAATAGTTAATGGGTGGATCGCACACCGGAGCCCATCCCGGAGGTTAGGGAACGAAATTGATGGTAAAACTCCCCACGGTATCATAGTAGCCTCTGTTATATTCCGTTTAAATTTATCTGACTTCGAGCTTACCTGAATTCACTGCGTAGCGCAGTGGCTGTTGTTGAGTCAGATCTCTGCTTTCCTGATCGGAGGTAGTAATTCCCCGGCCCCCAACCACGCACCCGCACGACACCACAAATAACCACTCGACTCACCTGCACGGACATGGACGGTAAATTGGAGAGTGCTTTTTTTTCCCTCGCATGCCTGGGAGGCAGGCATTATATACTTTTATCTCACCGGTTCGTCACTATTATGCGATGCAGTTCTACCCTAACCCTCAGTGGGGTCCAGGGCCCCAAGGCTAACCAGCGGGGTTCCCTACCAGTTCAGACAATCACGGATACATGGCCAGGAGTGCACAAGCCAAGCCCAAAGGACTATTTCCGATAAAACTTCTCCCTAGCCAAGCCCGTGATTCACGGCCCTTTCCATAACAAATCTTCAATCAAAACCCAAGCCACGCGAGGCCGGACAAGCCTCACAACTGGCATCTATGGATACTGTATACGGCCTGGGTGAGGGGCATCTACAACCTTCCAAGTCATTCAAGGACTACGCCCCCGAGCCCGAGGCTCCAGACAAAATCCCATCCGGGTATAAGCAAGAAAGAGGGCGGGTCCCACTCGGCATGGTCGTCGTCCCAAGCTTGCCTCATTTCGTGACGGGGACAATCCTGGGAGGCACTCATCATGAACCCCTTGCCAGAAGTGAAGTGGCACTGGCGATCACGTAGTTAGTGTGCTGTACTCGGGTATGGAGGTTAGTGATGGGGCGGACAGGGTACGGGTGGCCGACGACATATCCGCACACTCCTGCGTCATGCGCAATTGTCTCCGGCCACCCGTACCCTCATCCGTCTCATCACTAACCTCCATACCCGAGTACCGTACCATAACCCAACTCCCGATACTACCAACTCCTACAATACTAGTTATGACATCCCGTTTCGTCAGATTCCCCCCCCCCCCATACGACAGGCATCTTCATGATCCCTGAGTACAGTACAGGTCACCAACCAGTGCGGAGAGCATGATGCCAGACTCTTCATATCCCAGCACAGCCAATCTCTCAGTAGCAAAGGCTTTCCGAGTCGTGGAAGACTCGGGTGAACAACACTGAAAGTAGTGCGCGATCTTTAAACATGAGAATCCCTCCTTCTCTCCATTACCAGCACCGCACATCTAGTACGGTACCAGTACTATTTGCGACCCAGACATTTGGTCCCTACAAGCACGTGATATCTATCCCAAGCGTTCCCTACACTGCGTCAAGTCCTAAGCTCTCACTCCTCCCTGACTCGTGATTTCACGGGGACCAAGATCGGGCTGAACCCACCTACCGGTACTGTGTGCCTAGGTACTGCTGCCTGAATGTCGGTAGTACTAGTACTGTACAGCGGCAGTGAGTGCTAGGACGACGAGATGAGAAGGTCAGTTGCGCATCTCCCGGGAAGTGACAGGTCGGGAACATCATACCGTGTATAGTGCTCGGAAAAAAAGCACTATGTCGAGCATGGAAAAGAAAGAGAAAAAAAGGAGCGGAGGGAAGGTTCACGCGCTCGGGAACGCGCAATATGGTACTACTCTAGTAGTACAGTATGGTCACCCCCCGATCCACCGTCTTCCTGTGAGCCCACTCGTAAGCGTGTTGTAGAGTTCCCCGGTACTTGTAAATCATGCACTACTTGTACAATACAAATACAATACGTGCACTTGTACTGTACTCGTACTGGTAGTAAGTTACTATTTACGAAACAAGAACCCGCTTCCCACCTCCCACGAAAAAAAAAAAAAGCAATCCCGTGACATTTCTCTCCCTCCTTCCCCCCCCCTCAGGTTCCAAATTTTTTTGTCCTTTTGGTTCTGTCCTCCAGCTCACGTTTTTCTTCCCACTTGTGCTTCCCACCAGAGCACAGTCGTAGCACCAAGCTTAGATGGAGGAAAAGAAAAAAAGGGTATTGTATTCTCGTCCTTTTTTTTTCCCCCGCCAGTTTTTTAGAAACCACTGAAACGTGACTGTATCGAATTGGGGTTTTCCAGTTTTAACCGTTGGGATTGGGGGGTGGAGAGAGGTGTTTTGGAAGGAAGGGGGCGTGGTGCAGTAGGTGGGTGCTTGGCGGGGGGTTTATCCTTCCACACTATCCTTGCTCTCTTTGCGGGTTAGGATCCGAGTCACATATCTATTTGGAATTTGCATCGTGATGTTTGATGGAAGATTAATAAAGAGTGTCTTTTTATATGATATCTAAGTAATGTATGTTCCGTACCCCCAAATGTAACCCTACCCAGTATTGACAAGATATATAAATAATAATAAAAAGATACATGAAAGAAAGTGGAGAAATGATAAAAAATGTAAGATCATGATATGCACCGAAACCCAAACCCATCCGTGAAAATGCTCCCAGGAAAACTACCCCTCCAAATATGCAAAGAGGAAAAAAAAAACATGATCCCACCGGTAATGCTGCGCTATGCTATAATGATGACATGACATGGAAAACAAAGGAAAATTTGCGGTAAAGTGAATGAAGTTAAACCATCTCCTCAACCCGTACCTTCTGCTGGTAAACTGGCGGAGGCGTGGCGGGGATGAAAGGCAAATGCGAAGTCGGCGGAGAAGGACACGCAGTAGGGGGGGAAGCCGGAGGCGTTAGAGTACCTGCGCTCCCACAATCCTTAAAAGTCAATTCGGACCGCCTGGAAATGTGCTTGCGAAAGAGCACGCGAATGCCGGGCAGGCAAGCGGCGATGCAGGCAAGAATGGCCTCCACCTCAGCGTACCCGACGACGCTCTCCTGAATGGGGACGTACACGTTCATCGTGTCCTTGTCGTGCACCGCATCATTGTAGATGCCGTCATACGCCCTATCCCGATTCTTCATGCGTACCACCAGCACAATCATTCTAATGAAAGCGACGACGACGGTCAGGATTCCAACCGCGATGATGAGGGATGCGGAGCGGAAGTTGCTCCGACCAAGATTGAGGGAGCGCACGATGGAGAAGCCGGCCACCATGATGAGGATATCGACGAGGACGTTTATGACGCTGATGATGACGGACGGCGCCAGGCTCGCACGGCAGGTGCCCGACTGGACGAGGTCGTTGAAGGCCCAGTTTGCGGACACGGGGAGGCACCAGAGGCTATAGAGGCAGATCACGAACACGAAGGTCACGGCAACCGCTGCGATCGTGATATACAGGAGCGTGCGAGTTTGGCGGGATAGGTCCTTGGAGAATTCAAAGTAGATGACGACGAAAGAAACTTTTATAAGCCAGAGGACGACGTAGAAGAGAATCATGGAGCCAAAATTGACCTATTCGTTGGACATCAAATTAGCCCTGCTCTCTGAACTCCCCCGGAAGTGGAAGAGGAACATACCTTGAAAACTGTCTCCAAAGGGGCTCGAGGATCCGGCCCAAAAAAGATGTCTCCGGACTCTGGCAAGTCGGGGTTGTAAAGTGAGGTGAGAACACGCTTGGGAACGCCGTGCATCGGCCCGACCAAGCTCCATGTAACCACCGCGCAAACCGCGGTTGTTAACGCTACCGTCAGGGCGATACACAGTGTACTGATTCCGCGCGGTGAGAACATGCTATAATTCGTGTTTCGCAGCGCCCATGTCCGCAGGCCGAGGACAATGTAGAGTACCAGGACAAGTGTCCATATTAGCACCACGTGACCCCAGTTCGATAATTCGTGCATCCTTGCGTTGTACTGTTGGCTGCTCAGTTGGGTGAGGTCTAGAGAGGAGGAGGAGGGGGGAGGTCGAGGTGATTTATGTTATCGTAAAGAGGAAAGGAACTTTCCGAGTCGTGAATCCTGATGAGCAATGCAAGATAACGAGCGGAGTACCGCAAGCCAGGTAGAGCATGGGCACTGTGGGACCCAAGTTTCATTATATACAAGTGTCGGCTATGCTAGTGGGGATCTTTAACTGTCCCCCCCATGTCAAGCTCTATTCAAAGCACCGCACATGCTACCAAAACCCTCGTCTTTAACCAACCAACTGTGGCGCAAGGGTCCAAGGACCCACAAAGATAGCTTACTACTGCTCCTAATTAAGCAAGTACTTTAGCTACCCGAACCAGACCATGAACAGCGGCCCGCCAAGAGCTAACCGAGGCCATCTCAAAAGACATAGCGAGTATAAGTACCTCGTACAGGTAAATTAGACCCAACAAAGTTTTGGGGGAAAATCCCTTCACAGAGATACTTAGACCATGAATTTCCATTTCTTTCTTTTCTTGATAAAGTGGGTATCCGTTGAGGACGGCAGTGGGACATTCTTGGAAGAAAGCGAACACATACAAATTTACGCCAGAGCGCTACCGTACTTTTTTTTTCTTCTCCACGCGTACTGAGGGGAAAAAAAAGGTGAACCAACTGGCTCCGTTTTTGGTACCCGCACAATTGTGCTGAGAGAGTCATCAGTGCTAAATCAGTAAACTTCCACCCCTGCCTGAAAATTTCTTCCACCCAATGAGGTACCTGCCCACAGTTTTGAGAAATGTGACCCCGGACCAGTGAACGGGCTGGCATGGGTTCGGTTTTGGCGCTCGCCGGGGACTCAGAGGTAAAGATAGGTGTGGCGTCAAGAAGCTATTGTCCAGGTTTAGGAGGAAAGCGGGGTGCTCTTTCTCTTGGCTATTGCAGCTACAGCAACTCACGGGCATGTTCCGTGGGCCAAAAAAAGGTTTTCTGTCCATTGAGAGGATTTCATTTTCCCCTCACCTTCCTTCGTGGCTGAAGAGAAGTGGGTATCATACGATAGGGTGTTCACCCCGACGTGGGAAGGCTTCTTTTAGAGCCTTTTTCTTCACTCCGTTCCCCGGGATACTGGCGCTGGCCTAACATAGCTATTCTCTATACAGATAGCCCACATGGGAGCTTTATTTGCCTCGCTGAATCCTTGAGCGGGAATAGACGAGAATACCGGTAACATAGTTGGATTGGGGTCTGTATCTTTTCTTGCTGCTATCATACCGGTACTGTACAGTACAGTACCCGTTCTCCTCCAAGAGTCCACCTGTTTTCTTGGCGGTCCGCCATCCCCTTGCTCACTGCCTACCCACTCGTTTTTTGCAGTACATAAACACGCCACTCTCCCACGGGGGTGCTGTGCTTGCCCCCGCCAACATCTTTCGCCCACTCCGTCGGGATTCCTGCGAAATTTCCTGCATAACATTTCGTTCTCTTTCAGGTGTTCAGACCGAACTTGTGTCCGTTCCAACCGTATCATAACCGTATCACACACACGATTCTCGCGATCAGACAGGAGACACCCGGCTTTTTCGGCCCCTCAGTGCTTGATGTTGGGATTTCCGGGTCGTACATTGCTGTGCTTTTCTGTGCTCGAGTACCTATACTTCATTTCCCACAAGGGCCTTGGTTTTATCGAAGCCCGACGCTACGAGTAGTATGAAGGTTTTAACGATACTCCAATGATGGAGGAAAGAAGGAATGTGCAATAGAGAGACAAAGAGTTTCCCGAGGAGGCAATACCGGTGCGGTAGTCGGTGACACACGGCGCCGTGCCGAAATACCGTGATAGTGCTCAGAACAATGCCTTGGTGGTGGCATAATTTTGCAATCAATCTTCCTAGCCAGGAGGGCAACTTGGTCCCATTCCATCCCCGTGATCCCGGCAAATCACCCACGATAATTCCTCTTTTTCCAATCTCTTTTGCCAAAGTATTTTTTAACTCTTTCTCTTCATCTCCTTCCATTCCCTTACCAATTCCCTCCCCCTCGCGATCCCTCTCATACGATCCTGACCTAATACTTGGCTATTCCCAAAATCACCTGCCTCCTGGGAGCGTGGGCGTTTCGGCGTCCGCCGTGTTGGTATATTGCACCTTGCTCCCCCCCGCCTACTTTAACGACGGATGCATAAATTATGCGCGGTTGTGGAGATTTGTGGAAATAATTAACCCTTTTGGTATTGACCTGCCGGTAGAAATCTAACCTCTTGAAAGGCTAATTGCTTCATTCATGCCTTTGTGTCACGGGACAAGGGCAAAGTTGAGAGGGGGGGAAGTGTTTAGCGGTTTTGACGCCCTTAACGTCCGGCAGGTACCGGAGGTACTCCAGAGTGAGGCCACGGAGGCGGCAGAGTACGATTTGTACTTTGTCAAGTTGTAAATCTCCTGGTAGGGGGGAGGGGAGGGAAATTGCCAAAACCGAGGCTGTAATGCGGTGGAGGCCCGATTGACATGTATTCGTTGCAATGGATGAATACAATAGGCATGCAGTATCATAATTGTAGCAAGTGCAATGCCTAAAGTTCCCGGTTGGAGTTGGAGTAGTACTAGTTTGACTACAGTCACCCAACACCTCCCCGCACAACACCAGGCTGCACCTGTACCGATACCCGCACTGTACCGGTATTTGTGTCCTGCACAGTGCTTGTATCTTGAAATGAGACAGGGTTCTTTTTCTCTCCGATTGGGTGACCGTGTGACAATGACAGTGTTTCCAGGTACTTGTTGCCGGATAAAAGTACGGGAGCGTGGGTGGGTAGGTTCGCGACAAACCCCGGGTTGGGATCTGTACTGTACATGTACAGTAGTATTTAATCTTGTTGTGGTGTAGTGCTTTTACGAAGTATGATACAAGCAGATCCCCCGACTTGGCCTGGCCACATGAGTGTTACTCGAGTACTGTACACTCGTCCAGCCACAAACTTTGGAGCTTCATAAGCGTGCTAGGATGGCCCTCCTGCCGTACTCGTAGTAGGAGAAAACCGCATGGCTGGCACCCTACTGGTACTACTATCAGACAAATACACTGGTATTCTGTCATGAGTCTGCTGCTGTGGGAAAACACAAGACCCGCCAAATACACGAGCAAGCGCCGTCGCCATTGGCAAGCATTCGAGTACGGTAGTACAACTGAGGATGCAATCCAATATCGGCAAGCTGGTTTTAGTACTTGTACAGTAGCCTGAGGTTGGATAGGTTCGTGAAAGTCCTCCCCCCCCCCGGAAACACAAATTAACCTTGACGAGTATAATGCCTATATGGGTAGTACTTGTATTTTGACTTTGATTTATTTCTTTTGTTTCCGTGTTGTTTTTATCCCTGCTTTCGGGCACTTACGGACTGAGATGTATTGTACTGTACCTGTACTCGTACCGGTACTTGTATCATAGCTAGAGGTGCAAGATATTTGGGGAGGGCGTTTGGCACACCATGATTTTGATCTGTTGGCGAAGGCATCCCAAATCATGATTTGCGATTGCGATTGAAACTGACCAACTACGGCGCGTGAAGAGGCGTTATGTAATAAGCATAACTTGGAAAGTACTATTATACGATATATCACACCTGTAATGGTACAGTTTTTTCAAATCGCAATCGCAAAGCACAAATTGAGTTAGCCAATAGCTCAAATGACGGTGTGCCTAACACGCCCTTAGTTGTATATTTAAATGATGCTATTCCATGCTTTGCGCCTGCGGCACTCCCCATCTCAGGTACAAACATCGGCGGTATTGCAAGTAGATGCGATAGTCGCTTTCCGTCTAGGGACTTGTGACTCGAAAGGGAGATCGCGGAACTCATAAGGTTTACAATCCCCATTTCCCACATCACACCGTAATTTGCTGTGCCGCGCTTGTACGAGTACACCGCCGAAGAATCCCATTGCAAGGGGCTGCCTATAGCAGGCTTTCCTTTATTTCAACCTTTCGGGGCGAAAGGAAAATCAGCTTCTGCGCAGGTAGAAATCCGATGACAAGTGCGAGCGCGCTTAATCCGAGAGGGAAATTACCATTGCCGCAGAAGTCACGGTGTGAGACTGCCGCGGGGCTGACTCCCACCGCCGAAGCTCAACTCACGGTACACAAGGACGAGACTAGATGTCTCCATCGTGAATACCTAAGCGGGGATGGCGCTCCCAATCCGGTAGCTTGGGCACGATTCTCATCGGTTGACTTCCTCGCGCGGGAGGACACATTCGAATTCCACCTTCGATAGGGGCAGGAGGGTACCCTATCCATTGGCACTCTCGACTCAGGACGAACTATTTTAGCCTCCTCTTTCCTTTACCAACCCATTCGACAACAAAATACAGGCGACCAGGGATCCTCCGACAGCAACCAACCCATCAATGCCAGCCGTAAAAGCCATATCTCCTCCTCCTCCCCTTGCAGCACGAGGTACTGTACAGTGCAAGACGCCTAACGGGTCCTCCGTGAAAGGCGGAATCGGTTGTGGACAGGTTCCATGGCAATGGAAGCAGCCTCAGAGTTTGAAGTTACACACGCCTTGCGAATATCTGGGTATGATATGAAACAAGTTTCATTCTCACCAAAATTTTGCTGTTTGCACAGTTAATTCCCCCCCCCAACTAGTTACGTCCGGTCCAAAACTAGGTGCCTAAATTGACGAACGAGAAGAAGTCCCATCTGATTGGGCGTGTCTATGCGAAAAAGCGAGGGGGGGAACGCTCTCGGTCGCCGCACGTCTCCCGAGCTACCCTACCGTACCCAACCAATTGTGACACCTGCAGCCGCCGCAGTTAGGGCGAGTCTTGGTAGAGCGCTTAACGAAACTTTATTGGTTGTTGGTTTCCCTCCTCCTCCAATTAGTAGAGCATAGTCTACCCTTCGACGAATACCAAGTCATTGGCTGTGAAGGGAGGGTTTGTCCAGTAACGTGAAACACGTGCTGGAGGAATCCGTCCCCCCCCTCAATGAACACCTATTGGGCGAGTGGGAGAAGGGTTGAATGATTAGGCTTCCCTCATTCGCTGGGGTTTACGGGTCCCTAATGTTCAGTGGAATTAAGATGGTAATGTTGCGGGGGAGTTTTGGGGGCGAGTTGAAACTGTGCTCCCCCCTCATTACAGTAAATCATGCCAATCCCTTTTGTGCCTTTACCTTCTTTCTGTATAGTGGACAACCCGTACCGTCGACATTTGGCATGGACCGTTTCCTCGGAATACCAAGGGAGACAAGTTTGTGGATTTGTGTGCCTTTTAAGTTATGTGCCTGACCAACCATCATGTTGGCTTTTCCTTTCGATCATCGTCGGTATAAAGCGGAGGTCACCTCGCTCTTTCGAAATACTCTTTTTCTCATTCACCATTCAACTCACAGTGAACATTAATACTCTAGCATTGTCCAGGTTGACTTGCATACTCTCGTTTTCCCCTCCCCCTCATACGTTCTTTACAATTCTCGCTAGCCGAAGAAACCATCACCACAATCGCTTGATACTCCCAATTATTAAACCCTTCGTTGATCGAAAGGAGCCCACAAAGCAATCCAAGACTATTTCCCACTGCCCTTAATACAAAACTCTTTCTACCCCCCGACCTTCTATAACCATGAAATTCACATCCTCAATCCTCCTCCTCGTGCTTCCAGCACTCTCCATCGCGCGGCCATCTCTGCGAGTTCGCGGAGACGATAGTGACACAGCCCTCCTCGACACCATGCTCGAACTCAAGTACGTCGGTGATGTCGATAGCATCCCTGGCAACTCCGGGAGCATCGGGATTGCATCGGCGAGTGAGGGGCCGAGGGAGTATCCACTGCTAGCCGGGCCGTCGATGAATATTACTTTGATCGATACGGGTGCCTCGGACCCTTCGGTAACTGATGGTGACAATAATGGCACCGCGTTGACGAAGAGGCAGGGTAATCTTCGATGTGTTCGCGTTTGCGTATGTGCTTTTGCTTTCCCTACCTGATTGCTTGTGTTTGCCCTGCTCCCGTTGCTAATTGAATTGTCTCACAGATGAATGGCCGCTGTCATGTCGGGAACTGCCAGCTCGTCTAGGGCTGAGTAGACACTTTCAACAGCCATCTCCGCTCTTCTCTTGTCTTCTTTTCTCTTCTCAGTTTGCCTTTTCATTTTGTCGGCAGTGGATACCTTATCGGGGGGGCGAGGAGAAATGTGTTAATGAGTGGGAAATATAGTCTTTTCCGTCAGTCGCTGGCATTTTGAGAATACCAGCGACCGACAGTAAAATAATCTCTGTCACGATGTTATGCGGTACTGTACCTGCATTGCGCACTGTCTCGTACCTGCATTATCATCGTTTTTTTTTTCTTTTTTCTTTTTTCTTTCTTTTTTTTCCCCTCATCCAGCCAGCCCCCATTTTCTGGTGAGATTTCTCCTTTTTTCCATCCTTTTTTATTTCCCCCTTCATATCCTTCGCTCAGACAAGTCAATACCAGAAGATCGTCCCCTAGGCGTTTATTCCTCCATTCATACACCGAATCAATCGTCGTGACCCCGCAGGCACTTGTAGCCTAACTAAACCTTAAAAAAAGCCCAACAGAAAGTGCAGGCTTGGCAGTGCAAGTAAACGGTTTTGTCTCTTCCCGGTCGACTTGTGAAGCTCTGATGGGTAGATCCAAGACAAAGCCAAAACAGCACATGGAAATTCCCGTATCATAATGCTCCGCCACCCACCGGGGGGAGGGGGGGTTCGTAATGATCGACCAAATGGATGAGAGGTGAAGCAAAGTTGCGTTGCGACTGGTTGAGGTGTACGGTTACCAGTGTGCGGTTGACTGCCAATAACGCTTCCCAGATAGCTCATTTCTATTTCCGGTGAGGGGGTCCCGTTTCAGAGTCTTCATTTGGATGGTGTGGCTAGTATCATACCATATGAAAATTTATCGGTGATGTGTTCGGTGAATACAGTAATGTACAGTACTCGTACAAGGGTAGGAACCCATTAACCTGAACAGACAAGGATGTAGTTGGCTGGCTAACCTCGAATAACTGCTCCATAACTTCTTGTCGGGCCTTGGTACTCGTACATACTATACTTGTACTGGCGTACGGGACTTGTATGGCTGGTGGGTTTGGTTTCAAGTTGTCCCAGAGGAGTGGCCGTGTATTATCGTATCATACAAGGCCATGGATGATATGATACGATAAGGGTATCGTAGTGACACCGTGTAGGGCATATCGAGGGATGCAGCACAAGGGAAAGTTGGAGAGGCTGGCGTGGTTGGCGGAGACCGGTAGCCCTAAAGTAGGCGGTGGGCACCTTGCTCCTTGTAACCTGCTTCTTGGTACAAGTATACCCCTTGATAGGCTACTGCTGTGTAGGGTGTGACACCGCATCACCATGTGATATTTTGTGAGGTTTCTTGTCTTGTAGCTTTGGTGAGAGTGGAAGGTATGATAGTTTCCATTAATTATGAGTTAAGCAAGCCAACCTACGGTACTTGTATCTCACCGCTTTAGTAACTTAGATCCTTGCCAATTCCTGCTTTCATGACATTAAATCTTCCGCAGTACCGTACCGAATTCGTCCACGGTACTGTACTAGTACAGTACATGCAGTCCTCTCCCTTTGGTAACTTCCTTTAGTTCAGCGTTCAAAGTCCAACTTCCCCGGCCACGAGTATCATGCCGGTACAGTACTCGAGTACAGTACTCATATTCCCACAATCCCAAGCATCCCCTCGGTGATATCATAGTAACACCAAGACCGCTTACCCCTAAGGTATGGTGCAAAGTAGCAAAAAAAAACCACACCCAAGCTTCCGGATCACCATATCCGCTTAACCCCCCACGATCTCACCAACAGACCGACAGGACAACCATGACACCCTACCAGAACACGGAAAACCCCCGCCCCCACACACACAACACCCGGGAACCCGCAATGATCGACAACCGTGCCCGAAGCCCCTCGGCCACACCGAGAGCCCCGATGTGCGTACGATACTTGTACCTGTAGCAAAAGTGACATCAACCCGACTCGCTTACTCGAGTGCCCACCGTAGTTCATGCCATAATGGGCACAAGTTATGCACGCACAAAAATTCGCATTGTCCATATTTGTGCGATCGACTTACCGAGGAGTTCTCTCTCTGATTTAAGCGCGGAAGGGTACCCGGGTACTGCGCGGTACAGTTCGGGTATCATGCACTTTCAGCGCCACACACCATATTGGCGTAACGAGTTGAATTGGATAGCAGATTTCTCACCAGTTAGAGTCCTGATGTTATATTATGGTGGGGGTTTCGAATTTTGTGAGGGAATTATAGGCTCGGCTTTCTTACTGGGTTTTTTTTTTGGTGGAGATCGGGTGGACGGTTCGGGGGCATGGCATCGGTGGAATATTTGTATGGATGTTCTATTTCCAATCCTGTGCTGCGCTGTGTTGTAGAGTGTAGTATGATAGCGGGTACAGTACCAGTAGGATTTTGTCCTGCGGGGTTTGTCTTGATGTTTGGGTAAGTTAGATGTGGTGGCCTTTCGCCGGTTACCCGTAAAATATTGATGAGGCGAAGTAGGGAAATACTCAGCCGCCTTAAAAGGGCATCTTTATCCTGAACCCCGCATCTCCTCTCAAGACCCTTCTCTCGTCTCTCTTTGTTAACCTACCATAGTACTGTACAACACAATACTCGAGTATAGTGCCTCAGCGCTTTTTCTTCAGCAGAGACACATCATCACTTCCATATCACACTAGACTGCAAAATCCTAATTCGCCCTTCAAGAGAAAACCGAATCACACATCATGAGGCACACCGCTCTTGTGCAACCCCTGCGGCCAAACCTAATTTGGGCTAAGCGAAACCCCTGGGCGAACCCTTCTTCACTGAACAGTAATCTTTAAAAATTCCATCTGACCAGACATTGATATGATACTATCATGCACAGTACCAATACCGGCACGGTGCTGCGTTTGGAGTATGATACGTACTCGAGTACCGGTACGTACTGTGCCGGTTACAGTACTGTAAAAACTTCAGCACACATACCAATTCTTGGTGAAGGGGCTGAGCCTCTCTGCAGCTGAAACGGGATGTGATGAAGGAAGCGAAATCATCAAGATGGGATGGATTGTTTGACATGCGGGTGCTGGAAATACGAGTATCATAACTGCTGTTACTAGAGGGTGGGGTAGGGGGAAGTCATGGGAGGGGCAGGGCTATTATGCAAGGGCAGAAGAAGAATGAATAGAATAGAGTAGGTTACGAGTACTCGTACTCGCACTGTTTGGTGGATTTCCCTATTTGGCCCGTGATTTGTTGAGATGAAATTTGATAAGAACCGCAAACCACCCACCCACACACCTCATCACATCACTTTGCACTTGACTTACTACACCATTTCGTCTTCTGCATCGTGAATTGCTGATTTGCTCACCTGTCTGCTTGCCTGACGCGATGGCTGAGCAAGGACAAAAACCGCACGTATTGATATTCGGAGCTGGCATTGTCGGAATCACCCTAGCGCAAGCTCTGAAGAAGGTACCCCTCGCACTCCCCCACACCCGTCTGCCCAACCGCAGCCAACAAACAAACTAACTTTGCCCCCCTTTTTTGTACTGGACAAGAACGATATTCCCTTCACCATCTTCGAGCGCGATTCCGCCCCTGATGCTCGAGGTCAGGGTTGGGCCGTAACCGTCCACTGGGCAATGCCTTATCTTGAAGCCTGTCTGCCGGACCAACTCCGGGAGCGATTGGTGGGGGTGCAGGTCGACCCCGAAGTGGGCAAAGTTGACCGTGGCAATTTTCTCTTCTTGAACGCGGAGACGGGCGAGATCCAGCATAGGATTCCACCGAGTAAGCGGATGAGGTTCAGGAGGCAGGGTTTTAGACAGTTGTTGATGGAGGATTTGGCGGTGCAGGTATCATAGTGCCCACCCACCCATAGTTGCTTTTTGTTTTTACACGTATGGGGTGAGGCTGTAGATGGTGCTGATGACGAGTGATGGCAGTGGGGTAAAAAGCTGGCAAACATAGAACAGAACGACGATGGAGTTATGGCGTATTTCGAAGACGGAACGAGCGCTTCTGGAGCATTACTTATTGGTGCTGAAGGGAGTAGGTCGCGGACCCGCCAGATACTCTGTCCTGACAATTACCAGCTGATCCCCTTGCCCATTCGTCTGACCGGGTGCGCTGTGCGCCTTACGGCCTCTCAGGTAGCGCCATTGAGAGCTCTGGATCCCCTCCTGTTACAGGGCCTGCATCCTGAGACAGAGGACTTTTTTTGGTTTTCCAGTTCGTCCCCCCTCCCCCTTCTACGTTGCAAAATAGGGTTGACATACGCCACCAGTTCTCGATACTCCGGCGACAAATGCCGACGGGGGCGATTACTACACTACGCAGATACTCATGTCCTGGCATCTAAACGACCCTGTAAGAGACGAGGTATCACCGGACAACACGGCGCGTCTGGAGAACATGAAACGCCGCGCAAGTCGCTTTGCCGAACCCTTCCGATCTTTTATTCTCGGTATCCCGTCGGACACGGAGGCGGTGGAGATCAAATTGCGTGACTGGCCTTGTTTGGGCTGGGATAATCTCGGGGGGAGGGTTACCTTAGTTGGGGATGCGGCGCATGCAATGACTATGTGTATGATTATTCACTTCTTGGTTTCTTTCCCGCGCTTAAGAATCCACTGACGACGTGTGGGTATATTTAATAGATCGTGGAGAAGGGGCAAACCACGGCCTCATGGATGCAGCAAAGCTCGCCGAAGCTCTCAAAGGGGCATGCGATGGTAAAGTATCCCTGAAAGAAGCAGTGGATGCCTACGAGACCGAAATGAGGAAGCGGACTGAGCCAGCGGTACTTCTGAGTCGACAGGCTTGCCTGGATGCGCATGATTGGGCCAAGATCAAGTCTGGTAATGCGATGGTCCTTTCTAAGAGGGCTGCCCTGCCGAAAGAGGGGTGAGCGAACTCCTCAAATTCGCGGGCCACTTGTACATATATAGGTAGCCGTTGATGCATACATACACACGACTCACCATACACCATAGATTCTCATTTATCCAAAGGGTGTTGACAGTGTTTCGGGAGGCGCGGTGTTCAGAACCTTGTGTCTTTCCTTTTCTTTATTTTTAGATCAAGCCGGATGCTGGAAAGCTTGCTCAACTCCTAGGAAAGACTAAATACTCTTTTGTAGCTCGTCTGCTCGTCTGCATATATACTCACTAGAGTTGGTGTAGACTTACCAGTATGAATCATGAATCAACACCGCTTTGGAATCCCATCCAACTTGAGATAAAGACCCCAAAGTACCGCCAAATCACCAGGAAAAACAACACTGGGCAAACTCGCCGTCAGTAATAAACCCTATACAGGCTACATGCCAGGACAGCGATCCATCACTCACAGCCCCTCACTCGCTCTTCGCATCTCACCACCAACCGCCCCAGGTCTCTTACGATGGACAAAAGCAAAAAGAAATACAGCACAGAGCCTCGCCTAGAGATACGTACCAAGGACGATTACAGGAATAGCCCTTGGTATGCGATGTTCTACCTCGGGTCCGATTTTGTTTGGCGGGGAGTCATGTGGCGTGTTGCATTCTTTTTACTCTGCGAATGAGGTGCTTGTGCGCTTCTTTTCGGATGGAGTGAGAGGTTTTATGTGTTAAGCTTTATCAATTTTTGTCTGTCGGGGGATTTTCGTACCTCTTGAAAATGCTCCGACGAACAGCCTTGGCCATGTGGAGCACTAATATGTTGCAAATTTGGCGAGGGTAACTGCTTATTTACTGGTGTCACAGTCGGGTTTAAAACGTTGAGATGATACTAAGCAATATATAAGTGCTGGTACGCATCAATTGCACCAAATAGCTCAAATGCAAACCTTGACAGTGATAGAGGAGAGGGAATCGCTCAGTCGTGACGAAGGTGATGATGGTCACGTCCCTTTCGATTCCGCTCGCTCTTCCCCTGCTCAGTTGATCGCGGATAACCACGTCGATGTTGTGCGCAATCGAGTTAGCTTGTCGAATTAAGCCTATCATGTGCTGGGGGGTTATTTCCGCCAACAATCTGATCCAGGTAAGTCTAAACCATATCATACTCCCGACGAAACTGTGCCTGTAACGAACAGTGGTATCATATCATACGGTATTTTGCTGGACAAAAAAGGGAAATCGTCAAAGTAGGGTGACAGGAAATTACCTGCTGCTGGTGTCCGTAGATTAGTTTCGTTGTGAGTACGCTGGAGGCTGCTTTTGGGTGGTGAGCCTCAACGGGTTTATGGCATGGCGATAAATCGAGTATCCTGGTCCCTTCGGGCCGAGCTCCCTACTCCTCTTGTCCAACTAGCAATCCAAATCCATAGCCGCCCTCGCAACTCGAGACACGAGAGAGCCTTATTAGTCTCGGGGTTCACACCCCAAAAAAAAGTGACCGAAATTTGCAAGTGCGCTGCCGGCCCAAGCCTAAGAAAACAGGACGCACTCTTAGTATCATACTCGTACTCGGTTGCCTGCCAATCCCTCGCAATCATCTCCCAAACACAATTGGAAAACATGAGAGTCCATATGATGAGGGAGATTTGTAGCTGGAAGATACGGAAATTCGTCCAGTCTTAGAAATACCAGGTTAATATGCCAAGCGTACCCGGCTGCGACGCCCATCTACTTTTGAATTTTCCTTTGTCCGGAACCGGCCATCCAATAACTTAGAAATTGGATAAAAATATTTATATTTATATTTATACAAAACCGAGAGCATCGCATTAATACAGCTTAATCCCTTGGAAAATGACCCTTAACCGTTGATGACGAGGAAATTAACAGTATTCCACATGTCCCGGACATTCCTTGACATCAACCAAAAGTTCACCCTACTTTTAAACCCAAATATCTCAACCAAAACCCCAGATATCTCATTTTCTCTCTGTTAAGTGTAGGGGATTACTTACATCTAATGGAGCCATAATTCTCGTGCCAGTGGCTGTTGGAATCCTTGGCGGATTGGAGTTGAGCCATAGTTTCTCGGCAATTCCGGCTACGGAGTCCTCACTACACCGACACATACTGACCTCCCCACCAACGATCTGAGAGCCTGATAGTAGCCCTGGGTCCATCCCGAACTTCACTCACGTTTAGCGTGGCACTGACAGCAAGATCGGCGGTTTCTAATACGAAACGGGAAGAACCAGATGGTCTTGTTCAAATTAAATTGATCTTCTATGCGCGGTATCTAGGGCTTATAATGGGAAGTAATGTTGCATGCCTGCCAAGACACATATATATCCCATATGCCTTCTCTAAGGCAAGATCAAGATATTCACAACATTCAGGAGATTTAGAAATTCTGGAGTCCAATACCATGCCGCACGACTGTGTGTCCAGAGTGTGGAGTTCACTCTTAGCGATTCTAATGAGTGTGCAACAGCGTCCATACCCTTTATTGATCAGAGTTGGTGTGGGTTTGGCTGAATCAGTTTTTTTGTCGAATTATAAATTTAGGGGAAGAAAGGTGGAAGAAAGATGCGCTACTTTTCTGCTAGCTGAGGGCATGCTAGGATATATATCTCTGCAACTCCAGAACTTCAATGAAACTCAACGAGCTCTCGGGAAAAACACCACCCTGACCAACTAAGATCCGCTGCGATCTTCAACAATCCGGAACCAACCCGATATCCCATGATCCTCCCTAAACCCTGGACCCTATGCCCTATACCAGCTACCATATGCGGAATAGCATATGGTGTGAAAACCCCACAAAACCAAATTCCCGATATATCATATGATGCACAATGGCAACAAGCATCAACCTAAACCACATATACCTCCCGCACACCTCATCTCCTCATAACCGCATGCTTGATAGGCACTCCAACAAATCTGGTGATCAATAGAAGGCGACTAAGTGACCAGCTGCGGGTAATAGAAAAAGAGAATCCTCCCGGAACCCAAACGGGGTGCGGGCAACTGTGGGAGGTATGATATGTTAAGCAACTTTGTTCCCTGTGGTCCTTTCTAACCAAAGTACCGTAATGGTAAAGGCGTGTGTATAAATAAAGTATGATGGATGCATTCCGACCCTTTCATGGATCACGGTAACCTCTCTTCATGCTTCCACGGGTGACCCCATTTCTCCGCACGCTCTGGTTATCACAAAGCAAAGGAATGATATGCCCAGAGAGCCTCCTCCGTCAAGCTCTAAACCTCCAAAACAATATACCATAGTGCTAATCTCCCAGACCCCCGAAAACCCCCACAGTAAACACCATGTAACTAACATCAATCCGCCACCTTCACCACCGCACAGGCCCGGAAGGCGGCGCGCTTAATCAACTTTATCACGCTCCTGCTCCGCCATCCCCCTTGTTGCGATCATTAACTGTAGGCGACCCCCGAGCTTGTTCATCTCGGCTAGTTGGACCCGGAGGCTGGGCTCCACGACCCTCCAAACCGAGGAAGTAGAATACCGAGCAAAGAAAGGCTAAAATATATTGTAGCCCAGAGTCAGTAAAATGAGACCTGTCAACACCGAAGGATTTCTCAAGCAAACCAAGCATTGCCCCTAGCATTACATATAGTAGGTCTGACATGGAAAATATATCTGTCTTTGGTTGTTCGGTCATTCACCTAGCAGCGCGAAACCACGTCGAGTTTAAGCACTCAATCTCATCCAGACTGTTACCTGTTCATCATGTCCTCTCCTGTGCATACCATGCAACCCACTCGTACGCAAAAGCCGATCCAGTACTTAGTCAAAATTACGCGTGTATGAAAGCAGGCATAAAAGTACTTAGTATCATAGACTGTACGCCTGAAGAAGCCCGTCCCATATCTGCAAGTAACAAGTTTACCTACCCCCCAGTAATTTCTCCCAATACCATGGAGTGATCGCCATCGAATCCTCTCACTAGCGATCCATCATACTACGACACTACTGGTGGTTCTTTCTATATGCAATCCCTCCACAGAAATGTTCGCGAGGTCACCGGGTCAGAACGTCGAGTGATGACCATCGCAACTATCGCACGAGGAAAAAAAGAAAAGAAAATCTAATACGATAGTTCGTATAAAACCCCTTTACTTCTATCTATGACAGAAGTAATTACGTTTGTCATGGAGAGCCACAATTTCTTGGAAAACTCCGGAAGGAACTATTCCTCCTAGGAGGGAGAGGCCCTCTTCAAGTAGTTTGAGATGGCAGGATCCCACTCTGGACCATATACAGTTGTCCCGGACCGTCAACATCGAGAGCCCACCCACCCAGGACAAACGAAAACAACCGGGAAAGTAAAATGGTGGAAGAAACCTTTGGGGAGATTGAAAGCCCGAGTGGTAATTAAGTAGGGGCAAGGTCTAGATGAGGGATAGAGCGGGGAATAAAGGACATTCTAATACTCAGTTCTGGATTTCCCCCTTGTTTTTTTCCCCCCCACCAAGTCCTCTTCTCAACACTGCCAACAGAGCTTCCATACGGGAGCAGGGAAGTTCGACATCCCTCTTCGAGTCCGAATTGCGCACCAATAGGAATCAACAGGAAAATCTAGAGCAGGTAGAAGTCGAGGATTGTACTGGCTGTAAGGGGTTCTGTTTTTGTCGAGAGAGAGGAAGGGGATCATCCGATACCAGCCCAGCATAAGGTGAAAATCTGGGACCAAAATATATAATATATCATTTTCTACGAGAGCAGGGGGGTAAATTGGCCATTCTTGGGAGGGCGAGGTAGACATCCAGGTAATCCCCGAAAAATCCTGGGAAAAGAAATCGCCAGCGGACAGAGAAGAAATCCGGTTGGGTATCATAAAATCTGGGACAACAAGGTGCTATACCACTGCATGGCTGCCTGGGTATGAGGCCAACGATCAGAGGGTGAACAGAAAAAGTGGTATGATAAAGTTATATCATATAAAAAAGAGGAATCACCGGGGCCTACTCTACGCGCACACCAAGTTGGGGGGATCACAGCGACATCTCGTCGAAAAAAACACGATTCCGGCATCTCGGACCATCTATCATATGCTGAAACCCGTAGGTAGGCATCCAC